TCAAAAGAGATAGGCTGATTTACAGCTCTAACCCTCTGTCAATCCACAAACTTTATCATCCATGTGTCTTTTCAAAACATCCCACTCTGGTCTCTTCATTTTATGAATGAGACTCCTCCACCCCAGAGAAAATGGCATTAATTTCCCTCCTCCCTGATTAAAAAAACTCTTCAGACAGAACATGGGAAGTAATTGCTAGGTATGTGTTTTATTGGTTTCCATACTCTACAAATGCTCATTCAATGTGAGCAGTTGCTGAAAGAGTAATGTAATTAAGGCTGATACAATCAATACTATTAAATTGTTAAGTTCATTTGTGCCATTAATAAAAACAATCAAGCCGCTATTTATTTTGTCTTAATGACTGTAAATACTTTGTTATAAAGTATGCATAGACACACGCACACAAACAACTATGCATGAGATATAAGCCTTTACCTTGCCACTAATTACAAATAAGCAGCTATAGATTATAATGTTAGAATTCCGTGTTTGGGTTGTGCTAGAGGTGGTAAAAATTTTAAACTGAAAATTTTTCCTGTTAGAAAACGTGGTTTAATTTACGTTGAAAATATGAATGTAGACAAAAATGTTTGATTTTTCCAGCATTTAAAAAAGAAAAATTTGTTTCGTTTCAATTTGAAATATCATTTCAGTTTTTGGAAACTCAAAACGTTTGGTTTTCTGTTTTTGGTTTTTGAATTTTTGTCTCCCTTTCCCTTTTCTTTACTCCCCCTCCTCCCCCCCACTCAGGGGTGAAAGTGAGCCGGTACGGGCTGGTACTCCATACCGGTAAGAACCCGCACCGTCCCATACCCAGCCCATATTAAAGCGCTGCTGTGGCAGTGCTTTAATGTCCCTGCCCCATTGCCCCCCTGCAGCCTCTGACGGGGGGGGGGGGGCAAAGGGAGCTGTTGCCCTGGGGCCTGCGATTTAAAAGGGCCCGGGGCTCTGGACACTGCTGCTGCTAGCGCAGCAGTGGCGTCCGGAGCCCCGGGCCCTTTAAATCAACACGGGAGCCTCGGGCGGCGTGGGCCAGGCGGCCTGAAAGGACTGGTTGGGGGATGCTGACCCCCAGCCCCGCCCCCTTCCGCCAGAGGCTCTGCCCCTTCCAGGGGCCAGAGCCCGCCCCTGGCCCGTACCGGTAAGTGGCCTAACTTACTTTCACCCCTGCCCCCACTGGAAAAATGGGATGAAAGGTAAAAGAGTGTGTGAAAGTAGGGGATACCCATTTTTAATACTTATTTACTGTTTTCCAATTTTCAAACGTTAGAAAACAGTAAGTGTGTGAAAATGAGTAAAGCCACTTTTCACGCTTTAACCAGGGCCGCCCAGAGCAGGGGGGCCCTGCGAGCCCTGGCCGAGAATCCCTGCTAGAGGCGCCTTTTTAATTTTTACTTACCTGGCGGCGGTCTGGGTCTTCGGTGGCATCTCGGCGGCGGGTCCTTCAGTGCTGCCGAAGATGTGGAGCGAGTGAAGGACCCGCCACCGCCGCTGCAGACTCGGAGCGCTGCCCGGTGAGTATGTCCGCTCCCCCGCTTTGCCCCAGGCTCCCTGAATCCTCTGGGTGGCCCTGGCTTTAACTGTTTTCTAAGTTTTTTCATAGGAAAAACTGTGGGCTTTCTGATCAACTTTAGGTTCTGGGGAGATCATAAATCAGCAATCAGATTTTGTATGGTGAAACCTCAGCCTCCTTGTTGAAGCCCTGGATGTTCTCTACTTTCCCTGTTTTCCATCCTTCCATACCAGTGTATTTTGTATTGCACCCATCATTCTTCAGGCAATCATCCATCATCCTTCAGCCAAAGGGCCGCATGGACTCCCTTCAGAGCCATTAATGTGCATCCTTAATCAGCCAGAAGGGGCACCGTGGAGAGACATAAGGCCCTCTTTCCACCTCCACTCCCATATCGCTCCACCCCCAATGCGGAATGTCCTTTGAGTACATTGTAGCTGTATATGGGTGTGGGCTGCTGGAAGTCTCTCCTACCCTTTCTTAATATTCCAGCGCTTCTGGGTTTCATTTTGGGACACATCTTTATAGCACCACACAGCTCCTTTTTTTAAAAAAAGGTTTTTTTTTAAACCATTTTAATGAATTTACCCTTTGGGAATCATTAAAAATAAGTGAATAAATATAGATTTCATGCCTTTCCTCATTTTTAGAGGAAAATATGCATTGTTTTCCAGTTAGTTTCTAACCCTGGCCTTTGGTGGAAATCTACCTTGAAGAGTATTAAAATGTAAATTAAAGGTATAATAACAATCAAAGAGCACACGCATGTACATTTCTTTATCAAACTGGTGTCTATGCTGCGCTGTGAAGATACTGCATAGCAAGCTGGTGCACCGTGACATCCCATGTGCACCCTGCTGCAGTGCAATGGAAGTCCTGGAGTGTAGCTTGGCTAACTACTCCTTGAGAGCGTGGTAAGCCAGGCTGCACTGCAGGACTTTCACTGCACTCTAGCAGTGTCCACACGAGATGTTACTGCGTGGCAAGGTAGTGTGCTGTACATTCAGATCCTGGCTTGCTGCACAGCAACTTACTGTGTAGATATGGCTTTAGTAAAGCTTCTGGGTGAAGGCTCTGTCAAGTTCTCATTGTATCTGAGCACTGCACTCAAGAAAAGCATTTTCTTTGCACTCCACATTCCAAAATGTCATCTGACCATTACTATGGTTGTAATGGCCAATTAGGACATTTTCTTCTGGTCCGTGGGAATACCATTTAGGGACATTATAGGTCAGATTCTGTCAACCTTGTGTTGAGTAGGTCTATGGCAGAGTAAGGTACTCCTCAACCTGAGTAAGGGTGCCAGGATTTGACCCTATGTGCCTGCATCTAATATGTATGTTTTTTCTGGACTCCTTTTTTTCCATGCCCAAATTGTGTATAGACTCCTGAATCTGTACATCTGATTAAAAGAAACAACTATGAACATTTTAATAGACTCCAACCTTGCAAGATTTATGGCAGCCAGTAGGAGAAGGAATGCACACTGGGGATTGGTCTGTCTCTGTTTAGCCTCTCCTAGGTTTTTCTCTTTTTGAACTTTATAGAGAGACAGGTTGACAGACTAATCACCTGCTCTCTATCAACATCTGTCCTGTGTCTTGAACTCTGGGTTTTTAAGTTCGGGTTGGGGGATGGAGGCAAAAATTTATGAGCAAATGTTGCCAGGATGGCTTCAGAGAACATCTATGTCTTTCACGTTTTCTCTGATTGCCATAGAACATCGTTCAGCCCTGTACTTGGCAACAATTGGCTGAAACAAAGTAATGTTACCCCTGTTGGCATCTAGGCAGAGAATGAGCAGATGTAGGCATAGGACCCTCTCCAGGCTGCTGTCATATGCTTGGGGAAAGCAGGCATGGCAGGAAGGTGAGGGTGAGGAATGCTGGACGGTCCTGCATTCTGATATAGCAGGCTGACAGACTGCTCATACAAGCACTTCGGGGGGGAAGCCCTGGTAGTGTTAGTTGGGCCAATGGTACCAGTGGTCCGTTGATGACTGTCAGTGTTCGTGAGAGGAAGGAAAGGGCTGCAGAAGAGAGACAAAGATGTAGAGGACATAGTGTCTGCAGTCAGAGAAGAGAGCGGGTGGACATAGAGAGCTGAGTGGGGTGAAGACCACCCTCAACATTAAAACCAGTTTCCAGCCCTGCTCCCACTCTCCCCACCATGACTTCCCAGGTCTATTCTTGATGATATGGGGGAGGATGATCCCCCACTGACGGCATTATGTTGCTGAGTGTCACCAGAAAGACTAGGAAGATCTCTAAGAACAAAAGCTAAACAGGAGTTCCCCATACGCTGAACTACTGCTGGTAAGTAAGATCCCCAGGAGTCTGGATGCCCTGGAACTGGCTGTGCTGGTGCTGAGTAGTGTCATAACACTGCCTGGTCCTAGCTGGGAGGATAGGACCAAAACCATGTTATATCTCGGCTTTACTCCAGACTCCCTGGTCTTTACTCTATGTGTGGGGAAGTGGCTAACCCTAAAGCCTACACTTACTGCATGGTATCCTGGTTCTAATATAACATGTGGTGCTATCTCCACAGGTAAACCACGTGGTGCTGTGGTAAGCAGACTGTGAAGAGCTACAAAGGGATCTCACAAAACTAGGTGACTGGGCAACAAAATGGCAGATGAAATTCAATGTTGATAAATGCAAAGTAATGCACATTGGAAAACATAATCCCAACTATACATATACAATGATGGGGTCTAAATTAGCTGTTACCACTCAAGAGAAAGATCTTGGAGTCATTGTGGATAGTTCTCTGAAAACATCCACTCAATGTGCAGCAGCAATCAAAAAAGCAAACAGAATGTTGGGAATCATTAAGAAAGGCATAGATAATAAGACAGAAAATATATTGCCTCTATATAAATCCATGGTACGCCCACATCTTGAATACTGCATGCAGATGTGGTCGCCCCATCTCAAAAAAGATATCTTGGAACTGGAAGAGGTTCAGAAAAGGGCAACAAAAATGATTAGGGGTATGGAACGGTTTCCATATGAGGAGAGATTAATAAGATTGGAACTTTTCCGCTTGGAAAAGAGATGACTAAGGGGGGGGATATATGATAGAGGACTATTAAAATCATGACTGGTGTGGAGAAAGTAAATAAGGAAGCATTATTTACTCTTCATAACACAAGAACTAGTCACCAAATGAAATGAATAGGGAGTAGGTTTAAAACAAACAAAAGGAAGTATTTCTTCACGCAATGCAGTCAACCGGTGGAACTCTTTGCCAGTGGATGTTGTGAAGGCCAAGACTATAACAGGGTTCAAAAAAGAACTAGATAAGTTCATGGAGGATAGGTCCATCAATGGCTATTAGCCAGGATGGGCAGGGATGGTGGTCCTAGCTTCTGTTTGCCAGAAGCTGGGAATGGGTGACAGGGGATGGATCATTTGATGATTACCTGTTCTGTTCATTCCCTCTGGGGTATCTGGCATTGGCCACTGTCAGAGGACAGGATTCGGGGCTAGATGGACCTTTGGTCTGACCCAGTGTGGCCATTCTTATGTTATAAACACTAGGTCCCCTGTTGTGTTAACCAAACTTGTTTTAATGTGGCCAGTTTCATACTGTAGATGGACACTGACAACCTAGGGCATTAAGCCCGGGTCCTCCTCATAGACACTTACAGCCTGTGGTGAGATGTCACATTTCTGAAAGAAACAAATCTTCCTTGAACTGGAACCTGTTCCCCTTCAGTTCTGTTCTAAATACTCTGTCAGCCCGTCAGCCTCCATCCCCCCTCCCTCACACTCCCTGTAATGATTGACTTGTGGGCCACAGTGCTTGTTCCATGAGGTAAACCCCAGTGTTCATTCAGGTCTGGGGAACACAAAGCCAACGAGAACGCTTCAAAGACTCTATACTTCGCTTGCAATACACATGAGAAAAACAGGTTGACACAAACTCTGGAGCAGTTAATGACAGAGTTCCAGCACTGCCTTCCTGGTGTGGGTTTAGCAGTTTGGGTTTCCTACTCGGCAGTAGCAGACAGTCTGAAAAAGCCGGCAGTGGCAGAAGGTGCAGACATCACAGCACGGGGGAGAGGGTGGTTTGCAGTTTTTCCAAGTAGCCACACAATTAGCTGGGAGTGTGGGCCTGGGCCTGCGGGATTTTTTTTTCTGGGTCTTTCTCTGCAAGACAGAAATGAAAACTTTTATTAACTCTACAGCAATCCCAGATCATGAATAAAGCATCAATACAGGACTTGACCAAGATAAATGTTGGTTTGAGATCAGGAGCAAATACCTAATAGTGTGGCCAATATTGGACATTAGCATAGCCTCTCAGAAGAATTAGTGGAAGCTCCAAGCCCAATATCCCGAGTCATTTAAAACAGGACTGGACAGGGCCCTGAAGAATGTACTGCTATCCTGCATTGGCAAAGCAATGGACCAGATGATCTGAGCGTCGCTCATAATACTTGGCCCATCTACAATGTCTTTTTAAGTGAAGATCTGAGAACATGTTTCAAACCTCACAACACCTCTGCAAAGTTGATATCAGCCCTGTTTTATAAACAAAGAAACTGAGTCACAGAGAGGTGAAGTGAAACCTGGGAATAGAACTCAGGTTTTCTGGCCCCAGCAGTGTCACAAGTCTAACTGCCCCCCTAAGAGAGTTTGTCAATTTTTAGGGCCATATTTTTAGTCTTCTAAAATTATTCTGTAATAGCAGGGTAAAAAAACAGCCACCACCCTGCATGTAGGCATGTGCAAACTGCTAGTCAAGTATGCACCCAATTCCTGCATGGAAACCCCTATTTGCAATAACAAATGCAAGTTTTTAGGTGAGCAAACAAAATCTCTTGCAAATCTTCTAGTCTACTTGTGGAGATATTTTGCAAATACAGCTTCTCTTGTCTATGAGTCAATACAAGCAGAATCTTTCTGTCCCAGCGTGCAAAAGGGGGAGGCACCTGGGACCCCAAAGCTCCAGGTACATAACGAGTGGCATTCCCATTATTAACCCTCAATTTTGTTCAGAGGGCTAAGACTGTGGGTAAAATTTTCAGAAGCGCCCAAGTAATTTAGGAGCTTAAATCCTATTTACTCTGGCAGGGGTGTCCCTAAGGGGGTGCAGGGCCCTGGACATAAGCACCAAGTTTCTAATCTGCCAGGGGGTGGGGGGAATGCTCCTGCCGGCTCTGCCTAGGCCCCGTCCCCGCCTAGGCCCTGCCCCCACTCCACTCCTTCCCGTAAGGTCCAACCCCCACCCTGCTTGTTCCCACCCCCGCTCCACACCTGCCCCCACCCCGCCTCTTCCTGCCCCTGCCCTGCCTCTTCCCCGCCTAGTTCTGCCCCCTCCCCCGAGCGCACTGCGCCCTCGTTCCTCTCCCCTCCCCCCCCCAGCGGCTCCCGACGCCGCAAAACATCTGATCCGTGGCAGGCATTAGGCCAGGGGTCGGCAACGTTCGGCATGCGGCTCGCCAGGGTAAGCACCCTAGCGGGCCGGGCCAGTTTATTTACCTGCTGACGCGGCAGGTTTGGCCGATCGCGGCCCCCACTCGCCGCGGTTCGCCGTCCTGGGCCAATGGGGGTGGCGGGAAGCAGCGCGGGCCGAGGGATGTACTGGCCACGGCTTCCTGCCGCCCACATTGGCCCGGGACGGCGAACCGCGGCGAGTGGGGGCCGCGATCGGCCGAACCTGCCG